AAGCTTCTTAGAGTACACCTTTAATAGAGCAAATTTAGGAAGGGAGCCTATTAAAAAAACAACAAAAACACACTAACTGGTTCTAAAGATGGGTGCATGATTTTACCTTGTCATTGAGAAAGCCGATCTTGAGCATGTTCTCCACATTGGGGACGCCGTCGGCCATGGTGAGGTCTCCCATGGAGTCTCCCAGCAGGATGATGTTGCTGTAATCCCTCAGCTGTTTGAAGTAGTCTGTGCTCCTCAGGGCGCCGTCGTGTTTGTTGTACACGTGAATCAGCTCGCCTTTGAATCCTCTCAGCACCCCCTGCAGAAAAAAAGAAAACACTTGTGTTCAGAAATCCACAGCAAAATCGCCTGTTAAATGAAAGAAAGCAGATTACTTTCAGTTTGGTTGGAAAAACCAAACTCTAAGCTGTAGACGCACCAAATAAAGAGCTTTTTTATAAATGAAGCTGAAAGAGGGACAAAAGTTGCTAAATGATAGGTATAACTGCACTTTGCTTGGAGGAATATCAGCTGTTCATTCAGCCTTAAACCGGGAGCTAGACTTTGGTAGGTGCTAAACATTTCACTTCTTTGTCATGTCATAATTTATCTGTTTTATACTCAATAACTACCTTCAAATCAACATTTGTACCAAATTTAAAGATGTTTTATCATATTGATAAAGTAAAAAGTTATCTTTAGCAGACTTTAGTGCCACCATGAAGATCATATGACAGCAAAGTTGCTGTAATTTATCATTTGGACCTTCAACCTCCATCTGTGTGGAGATTGATGGGAGTGCAAAGGTTGGTTTTATTTTAAAAGCCCGGTGTTTTGGAAAAGATCCGTACACTGTCCGATAGTTATTAGTGCTCATTGTGCTAATCACTAATTCATAAAGTTATATTTCTGCTTCTACTACTGAGGATGTGTGTCAGGAAGGTTAAAAGGGAATCATTTTTAACACAGCTGTTTATAGATATTAAGGAGAAATGAAAACTGTCTGATCAGGTCAGGTCAGATCTCTACAAAAGATAAAAATCAAAAGTGTGCAAAAACCGCTGCGCTTCTAATAGTGCTGTTTTAATGTGCCAGTAAAGCACACCGGAAAAACTATCTAGAAATAAGTAAAAATTTCTTAAATAAAATGTATTTACCCTTAATTTGAAAAGGTATCTAAGATAGTTTGCCAATGGAATGAGTATTTTTACTCTTAAAATAAGATATTTATATAAAATGCACTTGAAATAATGAAATTGTATTTTCTTTTCTTAAATTGTCTTGTTCCATTGGCAAAATGTCTCTTTTTCCTCCTCAATCCAAGAACAAATGCACAAATTTTAAGAAAAAATGACTTTTTTCCACTTTTTTCCAGTGCAGAACAGACAGGTCGGTATTCTACAGATGACTTACGTTGTCGTCAAAGTCCATGAAGTTGGAGACAACCTTGATGTTGGGATGGTAAACTCCTGCCTGACTGATGACCTCCTCCAGCACATCTCCCAGACCAGCGGAGAAAATGAAGACAGGCACGTTGTGCTGATGCAGGCGGTCGAAGAACTGCTCATAACCTTCCCTGCAACGAAACCAACACGTCTGTTAGCCCTCGTTTCTTAAATTCAGAACGCATCAAACACACAAATGCAGATCTAACACACATTTTCCCTCTGATCCTCTGGATTTACCTGAGGGCGACATCAGACTCCCTCACCACCTCTGGCAGTTTATCCTTTTCTAACCGCTGCTCCACAAGCAACGAGTGGGACTTAAAATACCTGGAAACAAACAGAAAAACATGAGCTGTGCACAAAACCTCCATTTAGGTCACATGTTGGGTTTGACTTACCACTCCACCATAAAAGGATATTTCTCTTCTATAGTCAGCTGAGGGTCAATCTCAATTGGATAATATTTATTCTTCAGCTGCAGCAGCTTCTGCCTGCATTCCTCTGTCACCAGTTTGCAGTTGTCGATAATATCTATGAAGGGAAACATATTAGCGATAATATATGGGAGAATTATCCTGCCATAATGCAAGAGCACATAATTTAAATTTGAGAAAAGAATTTCATCTTCTTGCACTCAAAACTTATAATGCTCACACTCAAAGCATGCGCTCTCTCTCAAATATTTTCTCTTCTCTCTCAAATCTGTTTCTTCTCTCAGATTTAATGCTTCTTGCACAGATATTTTTTCCTCTCGCTTGCCTCCTTCTCTTCGCGCACAAACGGCCCGTCTGCACGAGTCTCAGATACGCTCGCAAACCCGTAGAATTAGCATCTGCCCTGACTAGCAAACTTTAAAAAAAATTTTTTTTTTTTATTTCTGCCTCCAGCAGAAATTAAGTGACTTTTCATTGGTGATTCTTGAATCGCCATTTATTATTTCCTTTTTTTATTTTCCTGATTGTTGTTGTTTTTCAGCTTCTTAATTTAATAGCTTTTAAATTAAAAAGCCATTTTATTGTTGGTAAGGTTTATCACAGGCACACTCAGTAGAGTTAGACAAGCGCACCCTTTCCCAGGCTGTCGTTCTATTGGCTGGAAAGGTTGCTAGGCGACGATCCGACTGCAATCCGAGAGAGAGCAAATCAATCCGCAAGCAGAGCCTACGGGTTTGCGAGCGTATCTGAGACTCGAGCAGTGCGCGGTTTGTGCGCGAAGAGAAGGAGGCAAGCGAGAGGAGAAAATATCTGTGCAAGAAGCATTAAATCTGAGAGAAGAAACAAAGATTTGAGGGAGAAGAGAAAATATTTGAGAGCGCATGTTTTGAGTGTGAGCATTATAAGTTTTGAGTGCAAGAAGATGAAATTCTTTTCTCAAATTGAAATTATGTGCTCTTGCATTATGGCAGGATAATTCTCCCATAATAATATTGCATCTGTTTTCAGTCTAACGGCTTTAGATGAATTAAATAAGCTTGCTGTAATACTTACTGTGTAATGTCGGACACCGCTTGCCATTAACAGCAAACTTGCTTATCGTCATGTCAAAGTCTGTGATGATCTGAAACATTCAGAAGCTTTTTATTTACCAGAACATATGAGAAGAGCGATTATTCATTAATGCGTTTGTAGAATCCGGCAATCCTTCAAATGAGGCGGTTCGGGTTGAAACAGGTCAGGATTTGATGCTTTACCTGCAGTTTGGAAGCTCCTCCTTTGATGAGGCCACAGATGATCTGCTCCACCCTCTCAGGGTCTCTCATGTGCACCGTGGGTTTCTCAAACTGAGGCATCTGGAGTTGCACGAAGAAAAAGAAGAAAAAGAAATGGAAATTAAGTTCAACACAGCCAGTAAATTAGTTTTTCTAGTAAGAAAGAGCATCTATGCCAAGCAGCTGCAGAAAATCTGGAATCCGCTTTATTAAAAAAACAAAAAACAAAAGAAGAGAAAAATATATTCAATTCAATTTACAATTAGAGACAATTCAATCAGATCATACAGTCAAACGGATTTAAAGTTTTCTATCTAAGGAATACCACTTTATCGTATTAACTCATTGACCAGACAGCAATCCCTCATGCAAAGCATGCTTGTAGCGACAGTGGAGAGGAAAACTCCATTTGAACAGGAATAAACCTCCAGCAGAACCAGGCTCGGTTCGAGCGGCCATCTGCAGAGGCCAACAATGAATATGAATAAATGCTTTTAAAAAATCAGATCAGGTTAATAAAATAAAAATAAAAAATTCTCTGAGAGATTTAAGAAACTTTTCTCTACACCTGACAGATCAGGAGAAAAAAAAAACACTTTCTTTAAAATTATGCATTTTTCAAAAATAATTCATCGACAGAACATCAAGTGGTGCAAAATAAAAGTCTTAATGTTACTGAAAATGAACGTAGATATGTTTTAAAGTTTTTTTATGGTTCCAAAATCTATAAACATTTATCCCTGGTTCTGAGGCAAACTTTGACATGCCAGTATTCTGTACCAATAACAAGAGTAGGTTGAAATCATAAGATGGACCTCAGACAGCATATCTGCCATATCTTTTTTTTTTTTTTTTTTTATTTTGAACATGCAAGAGAAAAAAATAAATAAAATAATGTTTAAAACATTGGAGAGAAAAACAACAAACAAGGTACCCTTCTTTACTAAGTTAATATACCTCTATTACATGTGCGAAAAGGAGTAGGAAGAAGTAAAACTTATGTACTCCTACCCCTTTAATTCTTGTATTTCTTCAATTTACAATATTTATAATGACGTTGCTATATATATCCATATAAATACATACCTACCTACACATATACATACATAAATATGTTTACACATATACCTTCATACATATATACAAATAAACATAACAAAAAACACAAACAAAACTTTCTAAAATGCTTCTCTATTGTAGAAAGTTTCGTTTGTGTTTTTTGTAGTAAAATTAATCTTAGTAAAATTATGACAGAGCTAAGTAGTGGGGACTTCTTGGTGTTACATTTCTCACATTTAAACCCCCAAAAAGGGAGAAGAAAACAAGGGTGAACATCAGTCAAATTTTTGAGTGGTGCTGCAAACGGTCTCAGATGCCACATGGAGTCTGCTGCTTTTTTGTTGGAGGTTGTTTGACTGAGAGGAGTTAAACCTGTAGCAACCACCTCTAACAACACATTTTCTTTACATATTTCTTTTTAAAAACCGCCCCCATGGTGAAGTGGTTTGAATCTTGCTTTCATCAGAAGGTGCATCTGGTAAATCATAATAATAAGGATTTGCTGTGGTGACTCGTGAATATGAGAGCAGCCGAAACATTTAGATTTTTGTTTTTATCCCCCAACCCCTGCTTGGATCGAGGAATCTAATGAATCACACATGATTTAACAATAAATGCAAAACACAACATGCATATAAGGAATTAGATCACTGTCATATTACCAAAGTAGATTTTTTAAATGAAATGATGCCTTGTGTTTAGCTCTAGGCTCCGCCTCCTCCTTTAGGATTGGGTGCCTCTTTCAGGGTCTCAGCCAATCCTCTATTACTTGCGTCCTATTTAATGTCTGTGAAGCAGCACTTCTAGGTCTTTTGCTCATTTGACTGCCTTTCGCTTAGTGCCTGTGTTTTCCTGTTTTTGTGATTTTTAGTCCAGTTATTTTATAGTTTTATATATTTTGTTTAATAGTTTTTTTTTCCAAACTAGGTAAGTTCAACTTTTCTTTTTGGGTTGTTTTGTTTATGCTTGCCTGAGCTCACCTAAAGCTAAATATCAATCTGTACAGAAGAGAAAAAAAACATCTTAAATTCCTTCTTGTCTCCCAATTCCCTATCTTGATTCACGTCTGTCTCCTATACCTCCTAGACCAGCTAAGGGGACATAACATCAGCGCCATATTTGGACAGATATGCACTAATATTAACTACTGTGACATACATTTGCTTAAAGAGGAGGGCCAAATGGTATAGAGGCTACAAGTCATCGCTTGTCATATTACACACCAACTCCTAAACTGTTATTTACAGCCTGCAGGAGGAGAACGCCATGTTCTTGGCTTTCCAAAGCAACCCTGTATGGAGTCCTGAGGTTGCGAACGAAGAAACAAGCAACAGAAATCCTGCAAGTTTGAGACCACATGTTCGGTTAACGCTAAGTTAACAGAATCAGGGCTGGTTTGTGTTAGTTGGTAAATGAGCCCGTTTCAAACACTTGGTTGCATTAAAAATATTAGTCTAAGCTAAGCATTATATTACACCTGTGTACCAGTATTATATTACATAACTACAAGTTTCTTATGACACCCTACTCAGTTGAAAATGTCATTGAATTTGAGTTTCTTCCAAACTTTACAACTATTTAATTAAGAGTCCAAAATGACAATAAAGTTTCTAATTTAAGAGCATTCTGAGTGTGAAATGTTGACTTTACTTGACTGCTTAGAGCTTTGTCTTTTAATCAAGAAAAAAAGAGATAAGAGCCGAGAGTAGATTTCAATACGAGTTAACAGGAGGGACTGCAAGGACAGTAGATATAAAAAGACTTGATGAAATCCTGCTGCACCCAACAGGACTTTGCTTACGCAATCAGAATGACTGACTGACACCTCATCTTTCACCGGGGTCCCTAAAGACACACTACACTCAGAGCATAACCTAAAAATAAAGTTTGTTTTTGTTTTTTAACACAGCATCACATAGAAAAGCAAAACAAGCCAGGAGTTTTTTAAAAATCTAAAAAGTTGTAGTTTTTTTCTGATTTTATGTTGATTTAACAGCTTTAAAAAAAAAAAAAAAAAAAAAAGGTTCAAACTGATGATTAAAGTGGTGAGAATCCTCAGAGGTCAACCTCTGCTGATGGATGCAGAGCTACAAGCATCACATCCAACTGTAAATACAGACAGAACTGCAATATTTTGTTAAGACTTTCTATACATTATACTGCATTTTTCATCAATTATTTTCTATGCAACAGATTCAACCCCTGTAGATTACCAAAATAAGACATCTTTCTGTTCATTAACTTCACGTCGCCGCCCCAACAAGCATTTCATTTAGTCAACCACTTGCATGCAGGCACATCCAGGCTTACCTCGGGGTCTGTTGTCTCTTCAAAAAAACAAGAGTGAAGAAAAGATTGTGTGTCTGCGCAGCGTTTATATATACCCAGAAACAGGCGGGGAGAAAGAAGGGGGGAGGGAGGGGGGGTGTTGACCAAAACTGATTAGACAATATAACCCGTCCCCAACACAGGCTCAAACACACAAACATAGTGACACTTCTAGCGGACACACAGACGCAAACAAAGTCCACAAACACAGAGGTCGACAAACAGATGTGGCAACCGGGCCGGCGTTGTTAGACCAGTGTTTGGTATCCAGACTTTTTCCAGTAACTTGACCTCTGACCTTTCATATCGATTAGAAAGGGCGCCGTTGCATTGAGGAGTGCTATTGCTGAGCAACGTACATTTTTAACACACTATCCTCTCCGTGCAAAGACACACAAACACACACATATTCAGTAAATGGTGTGACAGCAGATGAGGGGTCAAAAGGTTTAAGTTTCAGAATGAGCATCAGGCTGTTTGCTCTGACAAAGGTCAGTAACACCTGACAAATGTCTACTTATGGATAAGGCTCACTCAAATGGATTCACATAAACACCCCTCTACTACTACTACTACACACACACACAGACACAGAGATAACTTACAGAGGCTTATCTTACTGTGGCGGCTTTAATATTTGGCTCCTACAGAGAAGAAGCTTCAGTTTATTTCTGGCAGGTCTGAACATGTCAGTAACGGAGCCTTGAACATGTTAAACCAGCACTTTTTTTTTATCTTCACTAGTTGCATTAGTGTGAATAATTTTGAAATCGTCAGATCAGCAGAAGAACAAAGACAGTTTGGCACAGTTTGGGCTTTGACGTTAGGCCGATTTAATCAGTTCAATAATTACCATAACTAACATCATGATTAGTGGATTTTAATGTTAGCCTCATTTTTTGCATCGATCCATCGCTAATTAAAGTTACAACCTTTTTCTTCTAAGCGTCTGTATGTGAGCAGAGTCAACTGGTTAAATCAGCTTCTTTTAACTCCAACTTCTGATTGGATCTTCTGGAACAGACATAGCCGATGAAGGGTCCTCTTCACAGAAGAAAAACAAAATAAACAGGTTGTTGAAGAGCAATCAAATAAAGACATAATAAGACCTTCAGACCAGATTTATGACCTATTATCAGAGCATACTCAACACTGTGTCTTAAGCTCCCAACTTTGACACAGCATTGTTGTCCATGATAATATCAAAGAAAATGCCTGAAACAGGCCGCTCTGCTTTTATGACTAGTGAGCTCTTACAACCATCCAAATAAATTAGCATCTGTGGAACAAAAGGATTCCTCCATTGCTCAGCTTGAAAGCAGTAAAGCTTTGATTTTCCTATTCAACATCTACATGCTTTCCTTATCTCAGATATTAGCAGACAGAAAGATCAGTTACCATAACTATGCAGACGACACACAGCTTTATATCACAATGTCACTAGGTGACTATGGATCCATCACAGCATTGGCTAGATGCTTAGAACAGATCAATATGTGGATGTGCCATCATTTTCTCCAACAGAATGAAAACAAAACTGAGGTAATAATCTTCAGACCAAAGGAGGAGAGCTCCAGAGTTAGCTAAGAGCTTCAGCTATTATACCGTATTTTCACGACTATAAGGCGCACTTAAACGTCTTTTTTTCCCCTCAAAATGTGTGGTGCGCCCTATGGTGCGGTGCGCCCTATGTGTGTTGTAACTGCGACTTTTGAGACCACCTCATTGAGGAGATGATGAAAGAGTGGCTGAATGTAAGGAGACCAGGTGTTTTTTTTCCACTCATCACCATTAATCTGTAACTCCATGCGTGCCCATCTCACAGCTGATGTGAAAAACATGGGGAAACAAATTAACCCTGTGCTCGCTGTTCAACCACTCGACATCGGTGTGAACCGGACCCAGCAGGTGCAGCAGAAGCAGCGAGTTTACATGCAAAGTCAATGGTTGACGCGCGTATAGGTGCAGCAAAAGGTCCTGCAGCGCGTTTTGAGCCGCAGGTGCAGCACGTCGGGATCGTTTAAGCATCTGATGCACCGCCAACGCGCTGCTGCTGCTCCAGATGGAAAATTTTAAGCTTTGCTGCTGGACGCGCCGCATCAACCAATCAGAGAAGCTGATCTGGGAGCTGACAGCTAGACAGACACAGCGCTCTGATGAAAGAGGAGATGATGAAAGCGTGGCTGAGGGAGGTGTAGCCTATGTGAGGAGAACAGGTGTTTTTTTCCACCCATCACCATCGCTGCGTGCCCATCTCACAGCCGATGTGAAAAAAAAGGTGAATCAATGAACGCTGTGCTCGCCGTTATCCCGGGGGGTCTGACAAAGGAACTTCAACCGCCCAACATCGGTGTGAAGCGCCCGTTCAAAGAAAGGCTGCGAGCGGCAGTTTACGCCACAGTTTGCGGATGGATTGTAGATGCTTGGACTAACGTGTCTGCTGGCTCTGTTCTTCAAGCTTTTGCAAAAGCCGGCATTATTTCTGAGGAGCCGCGCTGCACGGAAAGTGACTCTGACAGCGAAGAAGGGGAAACTGGCATGTCTGATTTAGCGCAGCTGTTTAATTCAGAAACAGAGGATGATGACTTTGAGGGGTTTGATTAATACTTTGTAATAAATACATGAATAAAGCACAATCATACTCAGTTTTGCTCCCGCTCTATTTTTCTACCTGAAAACTTAATTCAACAGCAGCCTATGGGCCGCGGGGCATACGGGCTCACCTCCGCAGGTGTTTTTTCATCTAAATAATCTAAATATTTTTAAGTGAGAAAGTCCACCTGAAAATTTAATCATTGCAGTCAGTTCATCCAGATTATTATCCTGCCTATGTTTTAAGTTAATTTATGCGTCAATAAACGAAGAAGAAGGGGAAACTGGCATGTCGGATTTAGCGCAGCTGTTTAATTCAGAAAAAGAGGATGAGGACTTTGAGGGGTTTGATTAATACTCTGTAATAAATACATTAATAAAGCACAATCATACTCAGTTTTGCTCCCGCTCTATTTTTCTACCTGAAAACTTAATTCAACAGCAGCCTCTGGGCCGTGGGGCATACGGGCTCACCTCCGCAGGTGTTTTTTCATCTAAATAATCTAAATCTTTTTAAGTGAGAAAGTCCACCTGAAAATTTAATCATTGCAGTCAGTTCATCCAGATTATTATCCTGCCTATTTTTTAAGTTAATTTATGCCTCAATAAACTGTATCAGAGGAGTAATCACAGCCCTGTGTCATCAGCGATGCCGGTTCCCAGGTTTGAATAATACTTTGTAATAAATACACCTTGCAGCTTTATTTGCTGTGATCAGTGGGAATAAAGTAGTTTTAATATGTTTTTAAGTGGGAAAATCCACCTGAGAGGACATGTACCTGTATATAAAAAACGCGCCCTATAGTCCGGTGCGCCTTATGTGTGTGTTAAATACAGAAATGGCACACATAACTGAGACTGCGTCTTTTAGTCCGGTGCGCCTTATGGTCGTGAAAATACGGTAGCTAGAAACCACTGATTATGCCTGAAATCTCAAGGATTAAAGGACTAATGTCCAGGCAGGATCTAGAGAAATTCACTCATGCATTTATCTTTGGTAGAATTGATTACTGCAACAGAGCTTTCACATGTTTGTCTAAAAAAGTCCATCAGATAACTGTAGCTGATCCAAAACGCTGCTGCCTGTGTTCTCACTAAAACTAAGAAAGTAGAGCACATCAGCCCGGTTCTGAAGTCCTTCCACTGGCTCCCTGTAGATCAGAGAATAGTCTTTAAAATCCTTCAGTTAGTCTATAAAACACTGAATGGATCAGCACCTCAATGCATAACAAATTTGTTGTCAATGTATCAACCTCCCAGACCACTCAGGTCAAAGTTAAAAACCCTTTTTTTTTTTAGAACTGCCTTAGTTTAGGTATTATTAGTTGGGGTCCAACTATTTTGTTTCTTCTACTACCTGCTTTTATCATGTTCATATATTTGCTTCTATTATACCTTTATTTTTCTATTCTTTTATTGTTTAATTCATGTAAAGCACTTTGAATTGTGCTATAAAAAATACACTTGGCTTGCCTTGCCTTATGTATGAGTTAAACTCGCTGACAAAAAAAACAACGTTCAATGTTACAGCTGATCTGTACGGGCCCAGGGCCAGGGTTTATAAATGCTTCTTCTATATAACTGGGTTTATACATTTTCCGGGTTTATAAATGCTCTGGATTTATAAATGCTCTGGATTTATAAATGTTCTAGATTTATAAATGTTCTGGGTTATATATTTTCTGGGTTTATAAATGCTGCAGG